TTCTCCATTCTGTATTAGTGGGTCTTCTCCTTTAATTATAATCTTTAGTTCTTTCTGGTTGGCTCTAGTAACCAACCTTCAAGGCCTACTCTTATCATGTTTTTCTCTAATCCACAACATTTTCCCATGGAAAGACTTCTTACACCTAGATTCAAAATCTTCACATATTTGAATAGGATTTTAAACAAACCAAAGGAAGGATTCTTATAATTAGTTTCAAAATCTTATTTCCAGCTAATCTGGTCCCTTAGTCCATTTTTCCAGCTTTCCAAAATCAACGTTCTAATCACTCTTTTGTTGCTTATTACTGAATTTTAAAAAAAATTATTTAAGTTCTTAAACTTACATGAAACTTCTTTTGCTGAGGATTGAAGGAGAATTACCCAATGTAGTAAAACTTGTCCTTCTCAAAGTTCTTAGTGTCCAAAAAGCAATTTACAAGCCATTTCCAGAAGTGATTGAGAGAGGAAGTGGGCAATCCCACTTCCCTTTGAAGCCTCTAAACCATGGCTTGGGCAAAGCTGACTTTCCTGGCTCCCAGAACTCTAAAACCTGCCAGAGACTGTTGTTTTACGATCTCATTGTGTGAAGAATCTGTATGGAGCACTGTGGGTGATCCCAGGTCCCCTTTATCCAGAGAGGAATTTTGAGACACTGATCCATTTATCGGCTCCTTGTTCTGCCATGGTCATCGGCTCTGCTACAAGCGAAGTTGTCTTCAGTCTGCCATTGCTTCCCCAGAAGTCAAAATATTTGAAAGTTGCTTAAAGCTTCAGTGATATGTAAAGTATGAAAATCTCATAGAAAAAGAAATAATCCATAAAAGTACAAAATAAGATTAACAGTAGTCAAATAATTGATTTATAACCCATCCCACCCGATCACACAGAGAGGGCATGCTTTGGACCCCCTCAGTAAAAGAACTTCGATTAGCGGAGTCCAGAAGGTGGGCCTTCTCTGTGGTAGCCCCCGCTCTTTGGAACATTCTGTCCCCGGAGGTGCGACTGGCCCCCTCACTCCTGGCCTTCCGAAGGGCCTTGAAGACCTGGTTCTGTTACTTGGTCTGGGATGGGGAGGGAATACTTCAAGCAGGGGATGGCTAGCCCCATAGTGGCCGGCTGTCCGCAGTCCGATTTTCCATCTTCTTGGATTTTCCTTTTTTAGTACTGTTTTTAAATTTTAGATGTATTATGTATTTTATATATATTTATGGTTTTAATGTTTTTGTAAATTGCCCAGTCTCCCATTGGGGGGAGATGGGCAGGGGAGAAATTTGATAAAATAAAAATAAATAATAAATAAATAACTCATTCCTAGTGGTTCCAACTGCTTTGGATAACAGTACCCACAAAACTTGCTATTGGTGATATTGGCTATTGCTGCTGAAATATGAAATATAAAACAACTGGTCATTGTTAAACAGATGTGTTCTTTAAAATTATCTACTAGTTTTATATAAATGTGTGGGAATGTGTAGGAGGGCTTTAAAAGTGTGTTGAAAACTTTTTTTTTAATTGCAATTTTGTAAGGTATCAATAATTCTAGGTGCTTTCCTTCAAAATATGGGCTAAAGTATTCACAGGATCTGTTCAAATAGGGCAAAATCTGATAATTATCTTTATTCAGAATCAGTCTTGCTTGCTTGCTTATATAGGCAGATTATTATCCATATAAGTATCAGTATGCTCCCCAGAGAAATGTTTGCACACATAAACTGACATAGAACTGATGTTGGGCAGACCCAAAATTCCAATGAGAACTAAATATACTCAGTAACCATCACATGTTGATTAACTGTAAAATTGAATAGGAATAAAATATAATGGAGTATATAGCTGATTAAAACGTTGAGCATGACACATGCAAAACTAGCAGATCCCATTTGTAGTTTCTAATCTTTGAGGATTTACTAATTGTATTGTAAATTGTGTGTTATGGATTGGTTGTTGTCCAATATACACATCTAGAGAGTAAGTCATATTGAAATTAATGGATCTAACTCTGAAATTAGATTGTTCTGTGGCAGTTTAGAACAAGGGGAGACAGCAAAGTGGATTTTTTGAGATGTTGCTTCATGGCAAGTTCATTCATGAGGAGATCTTTAGTTAATATATATCAAGATGGAAACCACATTAGCATGTAAAGTCCCATGAGTAAATCAATATGTGTAGTTTCATTTTCCAGTATAGTCATACTTTATGTTATCACTGCTTATGAAAAGATTCATATGAAATTGATTTCAGGAAGAAAAACCATTCATAATTCACAGAGAATTACTACATATACTCAGGACAATATTTTCTGCCTTGCTTTGTAGCAGCTTTCTTAATTAAGGTTCAGAGATGAACACCTCAGAAACTTCTGGCTTTGTACTCCAGAATGCAAATTATTACATCTAGGAATGTTTCTTTGTAAAGTGGGTATGGTATCATTGAGCAATGGGCCTTCTTGCGTGGGGAAAAAGATCTCAAAGGTGGAAAAGCAAAGGTGCTTTCTTTAGTAATCATAATTTCCTCACTGTATCACCTTCTGTGCCTACCATATATGGCTGGGATTAGAGATCCAACACATAATAGCTGTTTATGGATTTTGAAAATCATGCGGTCACCATCAGATGTCATAGTACAACATGATTTCAAAAGTCATTGTAATTTGAGCAGCGGTGTAGTGAAATAGAGAAAATGCTGAAGCTGTTTTATGTATTAAACAACATGGCATGTATTCACTTTCTGCTCATGTATTCCAAAAGCTTTTTGGTATTATTATGAAGGTAAC